GAGGCCCCAGCAGAGAGTGGTGGCGGTGGCGACTTAGGAGCCGGCGCGCTGGAACGGGGAGTAGCGCCCATTAAACCTCGGTGAGTTGCCGGGACTGAGAGAAAACCTCACGGGGCCTTCCGGGACCCGTAGGGCGGCTCGAGTGGTGCATGCCGGGAGAGGGGCAGCCCTGGGCGGGAAGTCGCAGGCTTCTTCAGTCCGGGCTGTTCCTCCGCGGCCGTACCTGAGATAGCACACGTTGGAGGCTGTCACACTAAGGACGCCACGGGGCGTGCTAAGGTGGGTGGGGTTTGAGGCTGGGGCCGCAATGCAGGTTGGGAACTGTAGTTCCAGCGCAGTCGGGACTAGCGCATGTGCGCCTCCAGGCAGCCGCACTTAAGCTGAGTTTTTTCTTTTTTTAAAAAAAATATTTTTTTAAAAATATATTTTATTGATTTTTTTTACAGAGAGGAAGGGAGAGAGATAGAGAGTCAGAAACACCGACGAGAGAGAAACATCTATCAGCTACCTCCTGCACACCCCCCACTGGGGATGTGCCCGCAACCAAGGCACACACCCCTGACCGGAATGGAACCCGGAACCCTTCAGTCCGCAGGCCGACGCTCTACCCACTGAGCCAAATCGGTTATGGCTTTAAAATATATTTTTATTAATTTCAGAGAGGAAGGGAGAGAGAGATAGAAACATCGATGATGAGAATCATCATTCGGCTGCCTCCTGCGTGCCCCCTTGGCGGGTGGGGGGCTCCCTCAACGAGCCCTCCTTTTCCTCCTCCTCCGGTGGCAGATACCTCACCACCAAGGAGCAGTTCCATGAATTCCTGGAAGCTGAAGGGCGGGAGAAGCCCAGCCAGGAAACTGCGGGAGGAAACCATTATGACCCTGACCTGTCTGAGCCTGAGGCCAAGCGGATCCGACTGGAGGATGGACAGCCAGGAGAGGGCGCCACGGAGGAGGCAGCTGAGCACCTTGAGCAGCCTCAGACTCAGAAGAGAGCTCGGGGTCAGAACAAGGCCCGACCTCACATAAAACCCTCCCACTATGACAAGAACAGGCTCTGCCCCTCCATTGTGCAGGTTAGTGTCATTGTCCCCATCAAGTCCCGGAAGCCTTCAGTTGGAGCCTCTCTAACCCCCATTCAGTCCTCATGATGTTGTAATGTAAAAAGTATTATTGTTCCCATTTCCCAGATAAAGAAACTGAGGCACAGTGAGGTTACTGACTAGCCCAATGACACACAGCCAGGAGGGGAAGGATCTTTGATTCAGAGCTTGGCTACCTCAGCCCCTCCCTGTCCGCTTTCACTGCCTCCCTCTTCCCTGCAGGAATCAGCTGCAAAGTGTTTTTTTGGTGATCGCTGTCGTTTCCTACACGATGTGAGTTGCTACCTGGAGACCAAGCCGGCTGACCTGGGCCCCCGCTGTGTGCTATTCGAGAACTATGGCAGGTGCCCCTACGGTGTGACCTGCCGCTTTGCTGGGGCCCATCTGGGGCCTGAGGGCCAGAACCTGGTGCGGGAGGAGGTGGTCCCAGCCCCTCCCGTCCGCAACGGCTTGGACAAAGCTCTGCAGCAGCAGCTGCGAAAACGCAAGATCCGTTTCGAGCGTGCCGAGCAGGCCCTGCACCAGCTTGGCAAGGGCCACCTACCAAGCCCCACCCCTTCTGCCACTGTCCCTGAGGTCCCAGGGGCTGAGAGTGCCCCAGGGCAGGACAACTGTGATACCCAGCAGGCCCCCCTAGCGCCCTGCACTGGTACCCCTCCCAGCAGCCCCATGCAGACCTGCGGGCCCCTGACGGATGAGGACATAGTCAGGCTTCGGTCTTGTGAGAAGAGGCAGGTATGTGTCACAGGCTTCCTGTTGAGGACACTAGCAATGGGGAGCAGAAAGAGCTGGACACACCTCCCAGCCAGAGAGCCAGGGCTGAAGCAGAGGGAGGCAGGGGGGAAGGCTTCATGGAAGAGGGGGCATTGGGACGGGTTTTGATAGTTGACTAGAAATTATCCAGAAGAGAGTATGGAGAAAAGACCATTTCTCATTGGTGGGTTGGTTGACATATGCAGACATTAAGAGGGAAAAGGGTGCTAGGCCAGTGGGGCAAAGCAAAGCATGTTCTAGATTGTGGGGAGGAGGGTGGAGCCTCAAAATCCACATTGGAGGGTGGAGCCTCAGTGCGTGTTTTCTTTCCTTCCAGCTCGACATCAGTGGCAAACTGTACCTGGCCCCCCTCACCACGGTAGGACCCACGTGGGTGGGCTGGGTGGTGGCAGTGTGGTCACTCCAGCAGTGCCCAGTGCCTGCCAGTCTTGGTATTCCTGTTGAGGACACTAGCAGTGGAGTGGGGGCCAGCTTGTCACACCCTTACCTGTTTGTGTCCCCACTGCCACCAGTGTGGGAACCTGCCTTTCCGGCGAATCTGTAAGCGCTACGGGGCTGACGTGACGTGTGGGGAGATGGCTGTGTGTACCAACCTGCTGCAAGGCCAGACGTCCGAGTGGGCCCTGCTCAAACGCCACCCATGCGAGGACATCTTTGGTGTCCAGGTTGGTGCTGCCACAAGGGAGGGAGAGAGGGAGAAGGGGCTTTCACCTGCCAAGATCTGGAGCAAGGAGTCACTTCCCAGATCCTCTCGCCTGGGCTGTGGGCCGGGGGCGCCAGCCTGAGGCAGCTCAAGGGCTAATGCCTGGGGATGGGGCCGGGGTGGGGCCAGGCAGGGGTGGTCTGAACTGGCCCTGGCCCCTCACCTCCTTTGCCCCAATACCTGCCGTAGCTGGAGGGTGCTTTCCCGGACGGAC